GGAGCCGCCGCCGCCCGCAGCCCCGCCGGCCCCGCCGCCAGCCCTCGCCATGCCTTGGCCGTTTTCAGAGTCCATCAAGAAGAGGGCCTGTCGGTACCTCCTGCAGAGGTACCTGGGCCACTTCCTGCAGGAGAAGCTGAGCCTGGAGCAGCTCAGCCTGGACCTGTACCAGGGCACCGGGTCCCTCGCCCAGGTCCCCTTGGACAAATGGGTAAGAGCTGCGGGCGGCCGTCCGTCGGGAGTCACTCCCCTCTTTCGGGCGGTTTGAAGGAGTGTCATCCAAAACGGGTGACATTCAGATCCTCTCTGGGAAGCGCGGCCGGGCTCAGATAGACGAAAGGGTTGTTTAATCTGTTACTAGCAAGTTTGCGCCCCCAAATCACGTGTTTCGGAAACTTAACAGAGACATTGGAGCCTACGCTGTGGGAATCGGTCGGGTTATCGGCTTGGGGTCGCCGAAGGGGCCCGTGGAGGGACCAGTGCCGCCCCTTCAGGTTGAGGGGTTCGCGGGGGGCCCGTGGCAAACAAGCCCTATTTCGTGGGGCGACACTGGGAGAGGTTAAGGAGGAGGGGGACCTCGGGGATGTCGGAATTCCGGGGCGTTCGGTGGTTTATTTCGGGCTGGCTCCTTGCACGGCGTTTGCCATCTGGAGAAAGTTAGGCGAAGGCCGGCGCTGCCCGCCCGCCCGCCTTTGCTTGTTGATGTGTTGCGAGGCCAGCCCGTGAATGGTCGTGTGGCCCTGGTAGCGCTGTTTGCTTCACGTGACAGGTGTTGCAAAAGCGCTGAAGCAGCAATTCTCAGACATTTAAAAATCCTGTTTTCTACTTGTCATTCAGAGACCGTGAGTTGACCCATTGCGTCTCACTGGTGCTTCATGTGCATTTCAGCTCCCGCATACAATGGTACTTGCATTTGTATGTTCACTGAATAGTGTTTTACTGAAAGTACACTCAGCCTTGGGTTTGACAGGTGGCTTTTCTCCTTCCCCCACCCCCTTTGTTTATTGCACTCGAGTTCCCTGCTTGCAGTGTGAATTGGTAGTACCGTTCTAGAGCTTTGCTATAGTGAAAGCAATCCCTTTAGGAAATCATAAATAGAATGCTGGTTTTCCAGTGATAGTTGTGCAAAACAAAAGGAAACTTTTTTCTGCTAATTTAAGCTGTGTAAAAAGCTGTGCTTTTTTCTTTTATGTAAAAGTATCTTAACAAAGTGATGATATCCTTGGCCATAGAAACCCGAAAAGCTTGAGTTATGCTAATACTGTATTATGACCCTAAAATTGATTTGTGCTAGCATGAATATCTGTTAAGTAGATGATTTAAAGTAGGGAGAGTATATAGGATAGTGGAAAGAGCCTTGATCTGAGTAGCAGAAAGACCCAGTCCCACACCAGGCCAGCCCAGGCTGCCACAGTTAGCCTTACAGACATTGGGCACAGTAGTTCACCTGCATTCAGTAAACATTAGTGGAGTGTCCACTCTATGCCAGGCACTGTGTCAGAGTACTGTATTGCTGTAACTCTTACCAGAAGATAGGGATTATGATGGATATTTTAAAATTCAGTGACCCACAAAAAAATAAAATAAAATTGATGACCTGTGAGTCTGAAATTTTGGGACAGTTATGAACAGGCTATCTTTCAGGAGGAGCATTGGACACTTATTACCCATCTTCTGTGAGCTGAATGGCTTTGTATGCGTTATTCTTTAATGACTTTTCATGTTAACCTCATAAGGTGGGTATTGTTATTTCCATTTTACAGATGGCGTTAAATAATTTTCCCCAAGTGACACGGCCAACAAGTGGTACAGCGAAAATTCTAATTGCTAAGGCCATTATTTCTTTATTAATCCTGTGACTGCAAAGGACAGTAAATGTTTATTGAGCATCTTTTAATTTAAGACACTCTTACTTTGTTTAATCCTCATGGGAAATCAGAGGTGGTGATACTTGAATTTTATAGTTTGACTTCAGGATCATTGTGGCAGAGTGATTATTGGCTAGACTTATTCTGAAGATTGTTCTGTTCTGTTCCTCGAATGCAAGGGATATGCCCAACCCAAATGATAATGTCAAATAAAAGCGTCCAGTAAACGTTTGCTGTTGTTGTTTATTTATTAATTGATTATAGTGTGTTCTGTTGATGACCAAGATCAATCTTGATGTGGCACTTAGATATAGCTATTCAAACTTCTGATTCCAAATTCAGTTACTTTAGACACCTGATTCGAATGACTTTTATTACTGAAAAACAACAACATACCTCACAGATTCATAGATCCAAATGAAAGAATTTTGTCATTGGGGACATCACTAATGTTTCAATTCTCAACCATCAGTTATGCACAGGATTATGTTGAAATTGGCAGTGACATTCCCTTTTTTCCTTGATTTCAATAATTCTTGCTAATTAATTAGAAGGCGTTTTAAAAAACCTCTGTTCAGCAACACTTTTAGGTTCATTGGGATAATTTTCCATGCTTTCATACCTTTTATAACTTGTATAGATAATGACTTAAAAAATAGACAGTATTTTTATTTTTTTAATTATTCTTTTTATATATTTTTATTGATTTCAGAGAGAGGAAGGGAGAGGGAGAGAGAAAGATAGAAACATCAATGATGAGAGAGGGTCATTGATCAACTGCCTCCTGCACGTCCCTGAGTGGGGATCAGACAGTATTTTTAATAGATATTATTTCAGCAACAAAATCTTGTAACAGTGGAGACGTTTCCAAATATAATTTTTCAATACATTCTCCCCATACTACAAGTATCCTTTGACAAGCAGTTACGTTCTCACTCATTACTAAAGTGGTGTCTTTACTTTGAAAAGCTAAGGTTTGTTTTGTTATTTGGAATATACCTGCTCGGCAGCACCTACTACTGATAGCTATCTGTCATCACATAAGTAGTCAGCGTATTTAGAATTCTTCTGCTCATGCAGAAGAAAATTGCTTTTCATCTTTAAAGTAAACTCTTAAGTATTTGAAAAACTGGGAAATCAGAAAGTTATTGTCACTTTCTGGGACAATAAGAAAAACTGGGAAATCGGAAAGTTATTATCACTTTCTGTCTCTTTACAAAGATTATACTGCTTAAAGGTCTGTTTTTTTTAATCCTCAATGAGGACATGTTTTTTTATTGTGTTTTTTTTGTTTTGTTTTGTGTTTTTTTTAGAGAGAGAGGAAGGGAGAGAGAGAGAAACATTGATCAGTTGCCTCCTACATGCGCCCCAACAGGGATCGAATCTGATACCTAGGTATGTGCCCTGACTGGGAATCAAACTCACAACCTTTTTGGTGTACGGGGTGATGTTTCAACCACCTGAGCCGCCGGCCAGGGCTTAGGTGTGTTCTTATCATGTAGAATGATGCTCAAGTCACTTCCATTGTGCTGAAGCGGAATATCCAACTGAGGGCACCGCTCTTAACTCTTCCCGGTTGGAGAACTACTGGTCTTCTCTTTGTACCAGTCTGATATGTGGCCAGAGTGAGGGTGCCAATTCCCTTTGTATATTAAATATTAGTATAACTTTTAAATCTAAAAATGTGAAAAATTTAATATAGAATGTCTAATTTTTTTACTCAATCCATGTTTGGATCACCTATTATGCCCTCTGGGATAGATATGTTTTCTAAGACTACTAACTTCATGGGTCTCGAAGTGGTAGGAAGAGAGGCAAGGGGTTGGAATGGGCTGTCTTATAAGTTCACGAGCTCTTTTCCCATT